TCCCCTCCCTTCTTAGGCAGCAGGATAGAATGTCTTCGCCATAAACTGGCGCGGAAAAATCGCACTCGAGTTCTCATGTTTCAAATCCTTGGGAACTTTTTGTTTATTCTTAGGTGGTCAGAACTGCCACTGGGAAATGCACGGAGACGATGATTCGTGAAAGCTGGGACGCACAAGAATTTGTCGGTCAGGAAGGTTTTGTTCGATTGGTGGATTCTAGCTCGGACAGCTGGGGTCACATCAATTTTGATGACATGCGTGGAGACATTGACTGCAACGTTTGCCAGTGAAGCAACTTATGCTGGTCAGGGGTACTTGCTAAAACTTGTGGATTTGAGTATAGTTTGAGGAATAGTTGTTTTTGAAAGTTCATAAATTTGTAAACCATAGAAAGGAAACGCATGCAAAAGGACTGATTCTTGTAAAACATTGTCAATAAAATAAGTGTACTTGCATGGTAATAAACTCGACATGGCTAAAAACAAAATGGCTGCATTTTATGACTGTAAATATACGAGGTGATAATTTTTAGCTTGATTTACTTTATCTCTTTTTTCCCCCACTTCCTGTGCCAAAAATGGCGTCAATATGTTGCTTAGCAATCGAGATCCCAATTTAAAAAGGTAATTTCCAAATAATAAGCAGAACGAAACTGAATATTTTGTCTTTAAATTACCTCGATTCTAGAAAAATACCAGTAATTACTAGGATAAACTCGACTTTCTCTTGTGGTTCAAAGATGACCCTTTTTATAAAGACAATCTCGCGCTGAAGGTAGCCGGGTGTGTTAGGTGGCTTTACAGACTAAATCCATTACCCTTTTATGAATTCTCTGTAATAATTAGGGTTAGATAGTCTGCGTTAACTTCAGCTGTGCATATCAGTTGTTTATTCAAAAGTACTCACAATGATTCTTGGAATCCTCCGACGCCAGCTGATACAATAGAAATTTGTTTCAGGTGATTTGCCTGCATAGATCAGCGAGCGTCATTATATCTCCTAGGGTGGAAATTAAACCGAAACACTGAGGGTAAGTTCTTCCACTTATCACAACAGTCACAATTAAGCGCAGAAAACAGATTTTACACTGTACCATTAGTCTGCATTCAGCTGAGTGCACGTTAGTGAAAAATGAATTTCAGTCGTCTTAGCTGAGACTCTTTGGCCTATCCTAGACCGCTCCTGAAGTCAGAAATTTGACAAA